TCCCCGTCCCCATGTCCCTGCGCCACCCCCCCCCACGTCACATTGTCCCCTCCCAGCAACCTGGAGGGCTTCCTGGAGGAGTTTGCCGACATCTCCAAGGAAGACCAAATCAAGAAGCTCCACGACTTGCTGGGTCCCCACATGCTGCGGCGTCTCAAGGCCGACGTCTTCAAGAACATGCCGGCCAAGACCGAGCTCATCGTCCGCGTCGAGCTCAGCCCCATGCAGAAGTACGCCGGACGCCTGGGTCCCCTGGGATGGGTGGTGGGGAGACCCCCCGGATGCCTGGGTCCATGGGAGAGGGGTGCACCCAGACCCTGGTGTCCATGGGAGTGGGTGTTGGTGGACCTCATTGCATGGAGCTCAGCCCCGTGCCGACGTAGGCCGGGGTCCCTTGGGTGCTTGGGTCCCCTGGACGCCTGGGTCCCCCGGGATGGGTGGTGGGGAGACCCCCCGGATGCCTGGGTCCATGGGAGAGGGGTGCACCCAGACCCTGGTGTCCATGGGAGTGGGTGTTGGTGGACCTCATTGCATGGAGCTCAGCCCCGTGCCGACGTAGGCCGGGGTCCCTTGGGTGCTTGGGTTCCCTGGACACCTGGGTCCCCCGGGATGGGTGGTGGGGAGACCCCCCGGACGCCTGGGTCCATCGTCGGGAGGCGCACCCAGACCCTGGTGTCCATCAGAGCGGGTGTTCGTGGAGCTCGTTGTATGGAGCTCGTTGCGTGGAGCTCAGCCCTGTGCTGACGTAGGCCGGGGTCCCTTGGGTGCTTGGGTCCCCTGGACGCCTGGGTCCCCCGGGATGGGTGGTGGGGAGACCCCCCGGACGCCTGGGTCCCACCGACCTCCCCGTAGGAAGTACTACAAGTACATCCTGACGCGGAACTTCGAGGCGTTGAACTCGCGGGGCGGCGGGAACCAGGTGTCGCTGCTCAACATCATGATGGACCTGAAGAAGTGCTGCAACCACCCCTACCTCTTCCCCGTCGCCGCCATGGTGAGGACCGCAGGGACACCGGGAGGGGACAGAGGGACAGGGGGTGGAGGGACATGGGGGGACATGGGGACATGGAGGGGTTGGAGGAATGTGGGAGGGGATAGAGGGATGTGGGGTGGAGGGACATGGGGACATGGAAGGGTTGGAGGGATGTGGAGGAGATAGAGGGACGTGGGGACATGGTGGGATATGGTGGGACGTGGGCATGGAGGGGTTGGAGGGATGTGGAGGAGATAGAGGGACGTGGGGTGGAGGGACATGGGGTGTGGGGACGTGGGGACGTGGTGGGACATGGGGATGTGATGGGACGTGGGGACGTGGTGGGACGTGGGGACACGGTGGGACGTGGGGACATGGAGGGGTTGGAGGAATGTGGAGGAGATAGAGGGACATGGGGACACGGTGGGACATGGGGACATGGTGGGACACAGGGACACGGTGGGACACGTGGGCATGGAGGGGTTGGAGGAATGTGGAGGAGATAGAGGGACATGGGGACACGGTGGGACATGGGGACATGGTGGGACACAGGGACACGGTGGGACACGTGGGCATGGAGGGGTTGGAGGAATGTGGAGGAGATAGAGGGACATGGGGACACGGTGGGACATGGGGACATGGTGGGACACAGGGACACGGTGGGACACGTGGGCATGGAGGGGTTGGAGGAATGTGGAGGAGATAGAGGGACATGGGGACACGGTGGGACATGGGGACATGGTGGGACACAGGGACACGGTGGGACACGTGGGCATGGAGGGGTTGGAGGAATGTGGAGGAGATAGAGGGACATGGGGACACGGTGGGACATGGGGACATGGTGGGACACAGGGACACGGTGGGACACGTGGGCATGGAGGGGTTGGAGGAATGTGGAGGAGATAGAGGGACATGGGGACACGGTGGGACATGGGGACATGGTGGGACACAGGGACACGGTGGGACACGTGGGCATGGAGGGGTTGGAGGAATGTGGAGGAGATAGAGGGACATGGGGACACGGTGGGACATGGGGACGTGAGGGATACGAGGGACATGGGACAGGGCCATGGGGTGGAGGGGACAGAGGGATGTGGGGTGGAGGGACACGGAGGGACACAGAGGGACGTCGATGGAGGCTGGGGGACCTCAGGGGACACCGGGGGCCAGCGAGGTGACGTCTGTGTCCCCAGGAGTCCCCGAAGCTGCCAAGCGGCGCCTACGAGGGGGGGGCCCTGATCAAGGCCTCGGGGAAGCTGCTGCTGCTGCAGAAGATGCTGCGGAAGCTGAAGGAGCAAAACCACCGGGTGCTCATCTTCTCCCAGGTGGGGTGGCCGGGACCCCCAGGGACCC